GATATATATTCTTTTAAAATGCCGGGGGAAAAAAAACTAAAATTTCCCCCCTATGAAAACTATATATTATATATATTTTTTAAAGATTGATAATATTTTGGAACAGTAAACATGTCAGGCTAAATAATGAAAATGAATCATTGACTTCTGCTGTCTTCATTAGTTAAAAAAAACACAGATTTCTTTACAATTTAAATGACATCTTTGGAGATCTTTTCTGCTGGAGAAACTGCTGTCCTAAAAAAACAAAACAAAAAAAAGTAAATAAAAAATTACACATACCTTAGGCCCGGTATTACAGAAAATTTTGCCGATTTTAAAACCTGGAATTTTCCAACCCGCGGTATACATTGAAAACAGTTATCGTCCTATGCCTACTCCACACAGAAATGCCAACTGGCTCAGCTGGGATTCAAACCAGCAACCTTCTTGCTGGGAGGCAACAGTGCTAACCACTGAGCCACCTGCCATTGTGTAAATATTACACAATAAGTGGTAACTAACTTTAGTCTAATTGTGAATATGAGTAAAAAGTAGTTTACTTTAATTAAAAGTACTTAATCAAGATGACATATTAGCAGTGGTTCTCAAAGTAGGGGTCGGGACTCCTTGGGGGGTCCCGGGACAATGACAGGGGGTCGCTTGGTGATTTCCAAAATTCAAATAAATTTCATTAAACTATTAGAATTGCCATATTTTATCTATAATCAATTTTTAATATTAAAAGACAACAACATGCAAATAAAAAGCCATCAGCCTTTTAATTCTTTTTTTCGAACTATTGGTGTGTTTGCGTTAGATTAACAACACTGCATTCAAGAGTTCACACTCAGCTGATGACTGTTTATAAAGCTTGTCTGGCATTCTGACCCGTGAGAGGGCCCTAAGCTCATAAGATCCTCGAGCCCAGAGCTCCTTCCCGTTTGCAAGGCGAGAGGGGAGTTTGAGCTCAGGTAGATCTGGAGACCTCCCCTGCTGTAGTAGCTAATAGTGATTGCTCTTAAGAGATAACTACTTACTAGGAGCATGGTGCCAATTTGGATTAGTCAGTTAACTTGAATTGCATGTTTTTGGACGGTGGGAGGAAACCAGGGAATCCACTTTAGTACGTGGAGAACGTTTAAACTCCGCACAGAAACGTCGGCTGGCTTGGTAAGGACTAGAACCAGTGACGTTCTAGCTGTGAGGCAACAGTGCTAACCACTGGGCCACCGTGCCACCCATCTAGGAAAGGAGGAGGAGTAGAAGTGGAAGGGGGAATTCTTCAAAACGAAGATGGCTGTTATATGGAACTTAGGGTATTTATAGTGGCTCAGGAATCGTCTGAATGGTGAATCATAAATTAAATAATGCGGGGCCGGCTGTGATCAATCATAAGCACGTGATCCTCTCCAAATTAGTTTATAAATAACTTCAAATAGCGTCAGCTGCAGCAGATTTTATAGCACCAGGTTAAACTTTGACACCTTTAAGGCAATAAAATACATTACAAATAATACAGGCTACTACTGAACATTGAAGATGATCATGGTGGTGGTCTCCAAAATGACACCAATAATAGGTTATATGCCAAGCTAGTGCCGTTCCCATGCTGATAAACTTCTGGTTATCTGTTATTGTTAGTTTTTTTTTCCATTTCAAACGATACCTTTTACAGCAGGGGTCACCAACATGGTGCCCGCGGTAGCACTCAAGGATCACATGAGTTGCCGTGGGCCTGTTATAAAATTAGCTTACCAGTAAGCTGCATCTAATATTTTTTGTAGCTATTCTTTTTAAATCACACTTGCAATGGTGTAAAATTAAAAATGACATTAAGTTATATATTTAAAAAAAAACTTTAAAAACAATTTCAGACAAATGAAGTGTTGCATATTGATATCTATCGGTTTCCAATCATTGTTGACAACTATTGTGAGAAGCAAAAGATTCAAAGTAAATCGGCACACTGCCACTTTAGCTCTCAAAAAATTTTATTTAGTCAAAATTTTTTGAGAGCTAAAGTGGCAGTGTGCCGATTTACTTTGAATCTTTTGCTACTTATGTTTGTTTTTTGATCGTGCACCTGCCTTCAAGATTTTTCTAGATGTGCGCACATTTCTGTTTTTTGCAACTATTGTGAGAAATCATTAACATGATCAGTGTCTTCACATAGATGAATATCATTAATTATTAATAATAACATATAATTAAAAGTAAATTGAGCAAATTTGTTATTAGGAAGTGTGTATCAAGCTAGTAGCTTTTCACATTAAACGATACCCAAGAAGTAGCTCTCAGTTTCCAAAAGGTTGGTGACCCCTGTTTTACAGCATCGATGTTGTAATTTAAACACGCCATTTTTTCAATGGCAAACAGCTCACAGGAAGCACTTAACCCAGGTTACAGGCAAATTAAAAGTCCTATTAGCATGCTTCGGCATATACCCCATTGACTTCTACTGAAAACATTAGGCCCTTTAGTCTCTATAGCTTAGGTTAATATAATAAATTACTATATAAACTATTAAAGCCTATGGTTGTTAGCCTGTTGCACTTTTTGTTTTGTCTATATGCTCATGTTTATATAGGCCTATAGTGTGTGCACCTTTGTTAGTTTATAACCACTTCCGAGGAATGTGGGGGTCACGAGTCACTGGCATTGTTATCATGGGCTGAATAGTTTGAGAACCTCTGTATTAGAGGATGTAAGGTAAACCCATTTTGGATGAGCATGTGGTGTAGAAATCAGCTCAAATGGGTCTCTGGTCATGGATATTTTGATGATTGAACACAGATGAGAAGTTTTAGAGCCACAAACGTCCATTTGACACGCGTGACACCAACACCAGACTATGTACTATGAGGAAACTTCTCAAGAACCTGACGTGGATTCGAAGAAATGCTGATTATGCTGCCAAATTATTACGATCGCCTTGAGTTCTACAGACGTAGTCAAGTCCGTCAATGCAAACACACACCCATGATGCTGGTTTGAGTCTTTTAGAGGTTATAAAGTCCCTCAAGAGCATGACATCGTCAGCGTCGGTGAATAAAATAATGGTGAAAAGCATGAATGATGTCTGTCCTGAGACTTTATTAGTGACTGCTCACAGACCGAACAGAGACTCACAGGCCCATTAAGGTCTGATTATTTACTCGTTTGTTTTCATTTTAGTCTGTGATGTGTGGTTGGTTGAATGAAAGTGTAAACCGATGGTGTACATTTCCATTCAGAGCACTTTATATTAATTTGCTGTGGAATATTGTTTGGGTTTTTTATTAGCTACCGGGCCGCTTGGACGTGGATGTAATCATTTATCATCATTAAACACGTAAACACAGACAGAGAGTGTTTTTTTTACTCTTAATCTCCCAAAGATCAATATTAGAGCGAGAAGGGTGAAGTTATTGAGATGCTTTTTCTCATTGTGCCAGAAAAGGTTGCCTGAATTCACCCTACAGTGTCTAACTAGAATACAGTAACAGTCATGTGAGGTGAACGAAACATTTAAAGTTAATAAAGATTGCGTCAGGTTCTGCTTTGTAAATTTCCTGTAAATAAAACCTGTTATATTTTTAAAAGATTACAAATAAATATGAAGAAACTTGTTAAAGTCTGCTTGGAATCTAAATGTACACTGCAAAAAATGCTTTTCTTACTTAGACTTTTTTTGTCTTGTTTCTAGTCCAAATATCTAAAAATTTCTAAATCAAGAAGAGTTTTCTAGACAAGCAAAACATATTGTCTTGTTTTGAGAAACAATATGCCAATATTAAGTGAGTTTTTCCTTAAAACAAGCAAAATAATCTGCCAATGGGGTAAGCAAAATAATCTTACGTCAAAAGAAAAAACAAGATTAATTTGCTCACCCCATTGGCAGATTATTTTGCTTGTTTTACGGAAAAACTCACTTAATATTGGCATATTATTTCTCAAAACAAGATAATATGTTTTGCCTGTTTTGAAAATGCTTCTTGATATAAGAAATTTTAGATATTTAGACTAGAAACAAGACAAAAAATCTAAGCAAGAAAAGCATTTTGCTTTGCTCACATTGATTGTTATTATGAAGGTGAACATTTATTCAGTGTTCACCAGCATGGACCATGCCATACTTTGAGCTAGACTTTATTGTAGGGATGAAAGGGATGGCATGGGAACAGTGGGACAAAGGTAAAGTAAGAGGATAAACAGTTTACAGGCATTTAGGTTGATCGTAGGATGCCTGGAGACGCAGAGTGGGGGAACCTTCTCTGTAATATTTACAGTGGTTGGACCACCTGATTCAACCTAGGAAGGATCAGAGGGTTATAAGGATTGTAAATGGGAAGCAAGAAAATATAGGGAGAGAGGGTGGGTTTGAGAGAACGAGAAGAACAGTGCGGCTGGTCTGCCTTAAATAAGTTTTAGGGAGTAGTGACTGGTTAAGGAGGCAAAGTGAGGCGTGGTGCCACTGTATACTATACAAATTATGTGTCCAATCTTTTTTTTAGGCTACATGCAAAAATAACACCTATTTTAAACGAAACCTGTTTTGTGAATACTTAAGATGTCTATCGGTGTTCTAGAGCTAAATATATATTATATAGAAAGCTAATATTGAAGAAAGCCATTTTTTACTATAATAACCCCCACCCCTTCTTGTTTTGATGACCTTATGGTGAATCAAGCGTTTATTAGGGGAGTCAATCCCACCAAAGCCAATCTTGAATAGAGGACTTGCCACTTGTCATTATTTGGTTAACATCGCCCTCTGCTGTCAACACTCGTCGTTTCTGACTGAAAATACAGTATGTTTGTTCTTTAATATCTGGAATGTGTGTGTGTGTGTGTGTGTGTGTGTGTGTGTGTGTGTGTGTGTGTGTGTGTGTGTGTGTGTTTGTGTGTGTTACTCTGTATGTGAGCAAAATTCAGAGTATGGGACAGGTCACGATTTTTCTTTACTTCTTATAATACCTCTTGTTCTTGTAAAATTAAAGTAAAAACCGATTTTGTTATGCAGACCTGGCAACCCTGTATAGAACCCACATAACAACGCTCAGGTAGCCGACTAGTTAATTGGCGCCAACTTTCCTGCAGGCAAACGCTTCTCAAGTTTTTCCTCAGAAAAATGTATCATGCGTATTTTAAGACGTTTAAATTGTAAGTTAAACTTAACTATTTAATTTATGTATGTTATAAGCGTTTTAAATTGTAACTTTATTCTGTCACTTGCGTATGTTGTCGCGCAAATCATGAAGGGATGCACACGAGGCCTGATTTTCTCCCCAAACCTGTTCGGTTAGTGAGTGTCTCACCCACAGCCGGTCAAACTGGAGAGACAGACACTCACAGCTGGAGCACTTACACTGAGGAAACTTTATTAAGTTAATTTGTTTTATCTCGTTTGACTTTACACCCTCAAGATGAGTGGTCGCCTTTGGACCGAGGAACAGTTCAACTGTCCAGTCTGTTTGGATCTTCCAACCGACCCCGCGACCATCCCTTGCGGCCACAGTTACTGCATGGACTGCATTGCGGATTATTGGAATAACGAGGGAAGGAAAAACGGCTCCTACAGTTGTCCTGAATGCCGGCAGACCTTTAACCCTCGTCCCACTCTCTGCCGGAACACAATGCTGGCCGAAGCTGTGGAGCAGCTCCGCCGCGGTACCCTCAGCACCGCAGGCCGCGAGTCCATCAAGAGCGCGCGGCGAGCAGCAAACTCCGCGTACGAGAAAGCAAACAAAGCCACCAAAGCCACTCGGAAAAAGCTGCCGGGTTCAGCCGTGCCATGTGACCGCTGCCCGGAGCCCAAAGCAGCCGTGAAGACATGTTTGGTGTGCATGGCCTCGTTCTGCGAGACTCACCTGAAGCCCCACAACACGCAGGAGAAGCTGAAGAGCCACGAGCTGATCGCGCCCACCGGAGACCTGAGCCAGAAGATCTGCCCCGAGCACAAGTATCTGCAGGAGTTCTTCTGCCGCTCCTGCCAGATGTTCGTCTGCTGGCTCTGCACCAGCAACCAGCACAAGGGCCACGAAAGTGTGTCCACACAGGCCGAGAGGTCAGACAAACAGGTGGGAAAAAACATCACACATAGACATCACCTATATACTGTAGAACTCCAGGTTAACTATGTTTATATATTATAACTTTAATTGTTAAAAGCTTTTAGTTACTAGTTAATTAGTTCAAGTTTTTGGTAACTAATAAAGCTATGGAGCGAAATCAGTCTCAAAAATAATACATTTACAAAATAAAATTCATACATCCACAACACAACTAACATTTACGAAATCCATTTTTGTACATTTAAAACACGATGCCAAATTACACAAATCTTATTCGTGAATTATAAACATGATTTATAAACACACAAATCCAATATGTACATTTCAAAAATACTTAAATCCAATTCATAAATTCAAAACAAGATTATAAAATGCACAAATCTTTTTCGTAACCTCAAAACAGTTCATAAATACACAAATTCATTCATTTTCTTTTAAGCTTAGTCCATCTATCAATCCGGGGTCACCACAGTGGAAGTCCCCCGCCAACTTATCCAGCATATGTTTTACTCAGCGGATGCCCATCCAGCTGCAACCCATCACTGGGAAACATACACACTCAATCACACATATACACTAAGGAAAATTTAGCTTACCCAATTCACCTAATCCGCATGTCTTTGGACTTGTGGGAAACTGGAGCACACAGAGGAAACCCTCGCTAACACGAGGAGAACATGCAGACTCCACACAGAAATGCCAACTGACCCTGCGATGAGGCGACATTGCGCTACGCACGGCCCCCACAAATAAAATTCGTAACCTGAAAACACAATTCATTACACAAATCTAATTCATTGGTGGACATATTTATGCTTTTTACCTGTGAATTCACAAATTGTGTGTTTACAGATTGACAAGTTGTGAATCGTGCTGTGCATGTATGAATTTTATTTTTGAAATGTTTTATTTTTGAGACTGATATGGCTCCATAAAGTTATGCTGACTCATATATAATAACTATACATATAAACCTGAGTTGAACTGAATAAAGTAAACCATCTTCACACATATTATTAGGCAAGGCAAGTTAATTCATATAGCACATTTCATCCACAGTGGCAATTCAAAGTGCTTTACATAAACAAGAATAAAAGAAACAAGTACAAGAAAAAAACAAATAATAAAAACGAGTAAAAAACAAAACATAAAAACAGGTAAAATGTGATATAAAAGAATGAAAAAGAAGAGAAAAACATAATAGTGGGATCTGTCAGACGCAGCACAGTGCTCATTCAGTAAAGGCACAGCTAAACAGACGTGTTTTCAGTCTTGATTTGAATGTGCCTAATGTTGGAGCACATCTGATCATTTCTGGAAGCTGATTCCAGCAGCGAGGGGCATAGTGGCTAAAAGCCGATTCACCCTGCTTTGACTGAACTCTTGGAACTTCTAGTTTATATGATCCTAAAGATCTGAGTGATCTGTTAGGTTTGTATTCAGTGAGCATATCTGTAATGTATTGAGGTCCTAGGCCATTTAGTGATTTATAGACTAGTAATAATACTTTTAAAGTCTATTCTGAATGTAACAGGGAGCCAGTGTAAACACCTGAAAACAGATGTGATGTGCTCTGATTTTCTGGTTCTGGTCAGAATCCTGGCCGCAGCGTTCTGGATGAGCTGCAACTGTCTGACGGTCTTTTTAGGAAGACCAGTGAGGAGTCCATTACAGTAATCCACCCTGCTGCTGATAAAAGCATGAACAAGTTTCTCTACGTCTTCACTGGAAACAAAGCGTCTGACTCTTGCAGTGTTTTTCAGATGATAGTATGCTGATTTACTCACTGCTTTATGACTGTTGAAACTCAGATCTGACTCCAGAGTCACTTATTTTTTGTTGTTTGACCCTTAGTGCCAAGGTACGGATTTAGATTACATACAAACGTAAGGGGAAGATGCTTAGTAACAGCAACATAAAATGTCAATGTTGGCACCGTTAAAGCTGCATTATAACTTTTTAAAAATCTAAATTTACAAATTTAAATAAATAAAATAAAAATAAAAACATTTCTAAAAAAACATAAAAGTATGCCTCATCGTATTGCTTGTGAGTTGTCGGTATGAATTTCCCAAGAAACTGCACTCCATGCGTGATTACGTCATAGTCATAAATAAACACGTAACTTCATAGTTGTAAATAAACACGTACATTAAAAACAACTGCAAGTTCTGAAACGAGATTGCAAGTAAAACGGCAATTATACACTACCCAAAATAACACAGTACATGAAGAAAATAACTAACATCAACTTAAAAATACATGTAAAAATGTAATCCTGTTTCAGCTATTCTTATATGTAGACGACGTTCACAAAAATATACAAGTAATGAATAAAATATTATGAATAAGTACAACATTACCTTTAAAATAAAGAAGAACATTTTTAAATAAGTAATAAAATCATTGTAGTGTTGTACATTTCAATGCTTAACTGCTGCTTTGCTTTATCTGGCATGACGTCACTAAACCTCAAAAAGGATCTTGCGTAGAAACAAGACGTCATTTAGAGTAATCTTCATGGTTTAAATAAAACAGACTCGCACCACTTTAAGCTTTTGCATGACAGGCTGTTTGAACGTGTCATTGTGGTTAAGTAATGATGAACTGATCTACTGTTTCTCTCACACTCGTTCCAGTCCACATTCCTTTCTATTCTGAACTTTGCTTTGTGTTAATCTTCATTGTTGTGTCAGAAAGAGCTGGGCGCAGTTCTGTCAGAGAACCATCAGAGGCTCCAGGACAGAGAGAGAGAGCTGAAAGACATGAAGAAAGTCGTAGACACGCTCACGGTAAACATTCAGCACACCCAGGAAACAGCTCACCTGTTAATGAGTGACAGAAAATTATTAGGCAACATGAATAATAAACTATTTCAAATATTTCCCAAGTCATAACATTTTTTTTTTTACCATATTTAATTAATTCCTTCGTTTATTTATTTTCCTTCAGCTTAGTCCCTTTATTCATCCGGGGTCGCCACAGCGGAATGAACCGCCAACTTATCCAGCATTTGTTTTACGCAGCAGATGCCCTCCAGCTGCAACCCAGTACATGGAAACACCCATACACTCTCATTCACACACATATAATACGGCCAATTTAGCTCATGCAATTCACCTGTAGCGCATGTGTTCGGACTAGGAAACCCACACCACAGCGGGAAGAACATGCAAACTCCACACAGAAATGCCAACTGACCCAGCCGGGGCTCAAACCAGCGACCTTCTTGTTGTGAGGCAACATTGCGAACCAATGAGCTTTCGTGCCACATTTACTGTATTTCATTCATTCATTCATTCATTTTCTTTTCGGCTTAGTCCCTTTATTAATCCGGGGTCGCCACAGCGGAATGAACCGCCAACTTATCCAGCATATGATTTATGCAACGGTTGCCCTTGCAGCTGCAACCCATCACTGGGAAACACCCATACATTCTCATTCACGCACATGCACTACAGATCAATGGTCAATATTATTAGCCCCTGCATTATATACAAGAAACTATTGTCCTATGTCTTGGCTAGTTAACTCAACTTTAACCTAATTAACCTCGTTAAGCCTTTAAATTGCACTTTAAGTTAAATACCAGTATCTTGAAAAATAACTAGAAAATAAGACGGCACGGTAACTCAGTGGTTAGTCTCTGAGTTGCCTCACAGCAAGAAGGTTGCTGGTTTGAGTCCTGGCTGGGTCAGTCTGCATTTCTCTTTGGAGTTTGCATGTTCTCCCTGTGTTGGCGTGGGCTCCGGTTTCCCCCACAGTCCAAACACATACAATATTGGTGAATTCATTACACTAATTGGCCGTAGTGTATGAATGTGAACGAGTGTGTATGGATGTTTTTCCAGTACTGGGTTGCAGCTTGGAAGGGCATCTGCTGTGTTAAACATATGCCTGATAAGTTGGTGGTTCATTCCTCTGTGGCAGCCTCTGATGAATAAAGGGATTAAACAAAAGGAAAACGAATGAATGCATAAGTAGTACATTTTTATAGTGTTTATGTGTGTTTGTTTGTGCGTAGCGCTCCTCAGACATGGTGCGAGACGATGCGGATGCTGTCCTCTCTGAGCTCCAGGAGTCAGTGCAGCGGATGCTGGATCTGCTGCTGGATGTGATGGTCTCCAGTGGGCAGGAGAAACTCACAGAGGCCCAGGAAGTGGTCAACAAACTGGAGGCCGAAGTCAAACAGCTGAAGAGAAAAGACGGAGAGCTGAAGGAGATCATCAACTGTCCTGACAATATACACTTTCTAAAGGTCAGATGACGTGGAAATTAGATTAATTAGGGTTTTTTTATTTTGATTTATCATGAGTTTTTTTTATATAAAATACACATTTTTGAGGGCTTACAAAAAAAAGTTAATCTTAAAGTTATTGTCTGTGTCACTAAGTTCAGACCAGGGTTATTATAACTAACTAAAATTAAATAAATTTTAATAAAGTAAATAAAAGGTACAAATATAAAATAAAGTGAACTGTATTTCATTTCATTTAAATATTGAATATTTCAGGTTTTCATTTAGGGGTTGCAATCTATTCTCAGTTGTTTGAAAAAAAAATTCAATAATCAAACAAATTATAGGGGCGACGCAGTGGGGCAGTAGGTAGTGCTGTCGCCTCACAGCAAGTAGATCGCTGGTTCGAGCCCTGGCGTTTCTGTGTGGAGTTTGCATGTTCTCCCTGCCTTCGCGTGGGTTTCCTCCGGGTGCTCCGGTTTCCCCCATTGTCCAAAGACATGCAGTACAGGTGAATTGGGGAGGCTAAATTGTCCGTAGTGTATGAATGTGTGTGAATGAATGTGTGTGGATGTTTCCCAGAGATGGGTTGCGGCTGGAAGGGCATCCGCTGCGTAAAAACGTGTTGGATAAGTTGGCGGTTCATTCCGCTGTGGCGACCCCGGATTTATAAAGGGACTAAGCTGAAAAAGAAAATGAATGAATGCACAAATTATATATTTTATTACACATGTTATTATATATTTGAAATATTATATTATATTATTACATTTTACAGCATTACTGTAAAGTCTATTAATAATATATATTCTGATTTTATATTGTAAACAAGTCCAATAAAAATAAGCAAAAAATTAAGGTGTAAATGAAAATTAAAATTAAAATGTTGGTATAAAATACTATGAACACATAAAATTTTAGCTAATATATTTATGTACATATTTGTAACTCTGATGGTTGAAATATATGAAAGCAACCATTTTTCCAACATTTTAAAATATATTTTATATTTAATTAAATATGTTAAATTGTTTGTTGGGCCAACACTGTGGCTCATTGGTTAGCACTATCACCTCACAGCAAGAAGGTCACTGGTTTGAGCCCCAGCTGGGTCAGTTGGCATTTCTGTGTGGAGTTTGCATGTTCTCCCCGTGTTGGCGTGGGTTTCCTCCGGGTCCTTTGGTTTCCCCCAGTCCAAAAACTTGCGCTATAGGTGAATTTAATAAAATAAATTGTATCATGATGTTGTCCCGGTCTCCACAGACATATCAGACTCTGTGTTGTCCGCTGGAGGCAGGAGAACTGGGAACTGTGACCGCCAACCCTGAAGCCACCTTTGATGCCGTCAGGAGCGTCATTGTCCAGTTTAGGGAGAGAGTGGAGGAGATGTGTGACCAGGAGCTGGACAAGATCAACAAGACCGGTACACACAAACACACACACACACACACACACACACACACTTAGAGCTGAAGTGGTCAGATGCATATGGAGGATCATTATCTGTGTTTCTCCTCAGTCTACAACACAACAGCGTTCACAGTGGCAGAACGAAACGGGCAGAAAACTGGCATCATGAAACGTAAGTGGATTTCATCACACAGCATTTGCTTTTCTGAAATAAAACTCATTTGGTCATGTCTGGTTATTTGTTTGTTTTAAATGAAGTTTCACAAACTAATTTCGAGAGGAGCACGTGATATGATTGACTGCAGCTGGCCACTCATCTACACTCATTGGCTAGCCAATCGGATCGATCCAAACTCACTATAAGTAACCTAGCTAAGAACTACTCCCTTATCTTCGTTTCCTGAAGAAACCCCCCATCCACCCCTTTTCCTCCTTTCCTCTTTTGCTGAGGGGAGCTCTCGAGAACACCTGACCTCGTACTCCCCTCACATGCTTTATGGACCTGGCGGGAGCCATGGGCTCAGCTATCTCCGAGCTCAGGGTTCTCTCCCGGGACAGCATGCCAAACCTGCTAACTTGCTAACAAGTTGTCAAACAGTATCTAAGTGTGAACTCTTGAAAGTAAAAAAAAAAATAAGAAAAAAGGTTGGTCCTGTATTAAACAACATTTTATTTATTAAATTAATGTTAATTATTATATACATTTTATTATATCTAAAAAATATTAATGAAATAAAAACAGCGTTCATTAGAAATGTTTTACATTTTATATTTTACTTTTTATTATTAAATTTATGTTTCCCAGTGAAACATGCTGGATAAGTTGGCGGTTCATTCCGCTGAGGTGACCCCAGATTAATAAAGAGACTAAAGCCTCCTTTCCACTGCACACGACAAGCGACAGACATTCATGAAAGTCATTCATTTCCAATGGAGAGTAGTCCGGGAGCTGCGTCGAGTTCCAATCATCTCCGTATGCGGAAAATTCGGATCCGAATTGAGCTGCGAATCCGTTGAAATATTGCGAATCCGTTGAATACTGCGAATCCGTTGAAACTCCTGAGACTAGACCGTATGCGACCTGCCGACCGGATCTGATGTATTCCAGTGTTGTCCAAGCAGATCTGTGCATGCAAGATGAGAAATAGGAGTTTATTTGGTTATTTTTTTGAATTATTAAAAGTCTATATTAAAAAAAACTTTTCTGTTCATAAATGTAAGTAAGAAAGTAATAAATATATATATATTTTAATGTTGTCTCCACATTCCCTCCAATATTTTAGTGGTCTATGAGTTTCTAGTATTCATTCGTCCATTAAACCATGTAAACGCACAGAGAATAAAGGCTCTTGCTTTTGCACTCTTTTATTTCGGACACGTGAGAATCAGCTTCTCCCCCGTGATGCACGACAACACTGAAAATACTGTGCGACTGCCACAAGGTGGCGTATTCCAACAGTCGTGTCCAAATGTCCTGTGCAGTGGAAAGGCGGCTTAAAGCCGAAAATAAAATGAATGAATGAATGAATGTACTATATTTATTTTTATTACATTTATTTAATTTTATATAAATAATATTAGAATGAAATTATATATATATATATATATATATATATATATATATATATATATATATATATATATATATATATATATATATATATACATACACACACACACACACACAGTTGAAGTCAGAATTATTCGCCCCCCTTTGAATTTTATTTCATTTTTTAATTATTTCCCAAATTATGTTTATCAAAGCAAGGAAATTTTCACAGTATGTCTGATCATTATTTTTCTTCTGGAGAAAGTCTTAGTTGTTTTATTTCACCTAGAATAAAAGCAGTTTTTCATTTTTTAAAGCCATTTTAAGATCAATATTATTAGCCCCTTTTAGGCAATTTTTTTTCTATAGTCTACAGAGCAAATTATCGTTATACAATAACTTGCCTAATTACCCTAACCTGCTTAGTTAACCTAATTAACCTAGTGAAGCCTTTAAATGTCACTTTAAGCTGAATAGAAGTGTCTTGAAAAATATCTAGTACAATATTATTTACTGTCATCATGGCAAAGATAAAATAAATCAGTTATTACAAATGAGTTATTAAAACTATTATGTTTAGAAATGTGTTGAAGTAAAAACTTCACTTTGTTAAACAGAAATTAGATGAAAAAAATAAACAGACGGGTTAATATTTCATTGGGGCTAATTATTCTGACCTTATCTGTGTGTGTGTGCATATATTTATACAACAGTTCTGTCTGGTTCTTGAATCTGATTGGCTGATAGCCGTGATATATTTAAGTAATATCAGCACCTGTAAAGCCTCTTTACCCTTTGTGTATTGCTCCGCCCACATACAGCCAGCAAAAAGCAGACACTACAGATCTTAAGTTTAAAAGATGCTTGCTCAGCTGTTAACTGTCAGCTTATGATTTGAATCCAACGCCGAAGAAAGTAGTTCCTCATACAAGAGGGTTTTTGAGACTCTCCATGTTTGATTTTGTTTTTATATACACAATTATGCCGTCAAACTGTTGTATAAATGCAATATCACACTTGTAGCAGTGCGATATGGCTGTATATCAGCACTGGTTCGGGCACAGAGGCACTCAGCCTGCGGCCTCGTGCCAACGCGCGCCTCCCACCAGTGCCGATATACAGCCATATTGGACTGCTACGAGTGTGATATTGCTCATATATATATATATATATATATATATATATATATATATATATATATATATATATATATGAGCAATGTTATTTGTCTATAAAACTCGTTTTCTTTACACTCAACATTGTTTTTGCATCTCAGTATTTTCTGGGAAGGGAACCAGAGCTGGTCGTGCACAAGGTACATATACAATAATCAAAATCTGTTCTTTATTTTTCATTTCATAATGTCATAGAATTTCTAATGTATGTGAATATCTGTAGGACCTCCTCCACTGCCGTCAGTAAGCACACGAGGATCTGGTAAAACATTTCAGAACTGTATTTCATTTTTCATTATTATTTTATTATTATTATTATTATTATTATTATATTTAAATATGCAGTAATTTGTTGATTTCTTCTCTTTTGTTTTATTTCTACAGTCAACACACGCACACAAGTCAGCAGAACCAGTGAGCCAAGAGGTGAGACTGTTTAAGTAAATCTGGTTTAACTTCAAATGGGTTTGTATGACCGTGTGTAGGATTTTTACTAATCTTTTTTTAAATCAACAAATCTTTATATCAGCTAACAGAAGTATTACGAACCCTCAAAGATCATCAAGATCGCCGAGAGAGGAGCAAAACGACAGTAAGACACACTTCTCACACTTTTGTTCTCTTGTATTATAAAAATGTGTAAAAATGCAGCGTCTCTTTCCGCAGCCAACAGAAACCAAAATGCAAGGACACAAAGTGAAACACAGAGAAGAGAAGAAAGAGAAAGCAATGATGGTGAGGAGGAGACATTTTTATATAAAGTTATAAGGATAAACATACATGTGTCTAGTGCTGTTGTGCTCATGGTTTGTTTAATTCTTCAGCAGACATCAGGAGTTTAAATTCAGTGAGATCAAGAGGGAGAGCGAGAGGAGAAAACAGAGATCAGGGTGAGAAATAAATACATAAATAATAATGGTTTAGGCTTAGTCTCTTTTTCAGAGGTCACCACTGCGGAATGAACCACCAACTATTTTAGAATATCTTTTATGAAGTGGATGCCCTTCCGTCCACAACCAAGTACTAGGAAACACGTGAACACGGCTGCTGCGCTCGTGCATCCAGGTTAATCATGAACAACTAGTTGCACTATCGCGGTCTGATTGTGTTTCAATCAAGGTTTATATGCATCAAATACATCTGTGCCAAACATCTCAACTGACAAACATATTAACAATTATACAACCGTATAGCCGATTTAAATGTATGCATTGGCATGTACAGCCCTAATTAGTATGATTATGTGAAACTCCATATAGATACATGTTGCAATGATTTCGGGTACTTGCTTAGTGATGCACGCGCACATATATGCACAATCCTTAAATGCTCTGCTGACTTGGACTATGTAATACCTGTTTTATAACTTAAAACTATCAACAACCACCACTGAGCTATAGTCTAGCGATCGTTCTTAACGCTCCGTGGTGGATTTTGGCATTGTCTATTTCACATGAGATGGCGGGGGTGAGTGGAAGAAACCAAGTTGCGGGGGAATATTTTCTACAGAAATAATTTATGATTTCTTATGTGGCCCGGTACCAATTGTTCCACATACCGGTACCGGTCAGCGGCCCGGTGGTTGGGGACCACTGATCTATAGCTCATGTCTTTTGACTGTGGGGGAAACCAGAGCACCCGGAGGTTGCGGCTGGAAGGGCATCCCCTGCGTAAAACATTTGCAGCAATAGTTGGTGCCTTATTTCACTTTGGCGACCTCTGATAAATAAGCCGAAGGAAAATTACTGAATTTTTCCATGGGATGAAATGTGATCTATATATCTTGACATTTGAGTCAGTTCATATGTTGTTGCTTTGTGTTTTCAATATCATATTGGCCCTGATTACATGTTATATTTACAGAAAGTGAAAATCAGACCTCTCAAAGACGTCAGAGTACACAGAGCAGAAGTACACGAGATGAAGAACAAGGTTTGATTCATTATTAGTTCATTAAATGAAAAACTTTAAATGTAGTCTCAGTCTCAATTTATATATACAATTCACACAGTATGTTAAAGCAGTTTAATTATCATTTCCAGCAGACCGCTGGAGTTTGAGTTCAGTCAGATCGAGACTGAGGAGAGAGGATAAAGAACCAGGTGATGCTTTATTGGTGTCTATTATTAACCTTTAACAGACGCCTTTAGAAATAACTTCATAATTGTGTCTGTTTCCCCTCTAACAGTGAATGGAGGATCTCAGAGTCCCTCACAGCAAAGATCAAACCCTGCAGACAGACAGCAGACAGCCAGACAATGTATAAGACATCACACACACACACACACACACACACACACACATTCACAAGTCTGTTTTACCATCTTAGTGAGGACATTGCATAGAATTTTATTGCAGAAACAAGTGCTAATAATTATAATATAAAGAGTTAAAAGCCCTTTTTAATTAGTGAAGTCTGGTGAATTGTCCTAACTAGTGGGTTGTTTTATATCTCACTATATAAGGGAGGATGACTGAGCCCTTGCCAGTATAGCTAAACCTGCACACACATAAACACATGTTGGCAGTAGACGTAACGTATAATGTATAGTAAAAATACTAATTATATAACTCTACCACTAAACCCAACCCTCGTAGAAAAACTGGCAAAATTGGAATGTCAAAAGACACAAGTAAGTTTTTAATGGTTTTGCATTATAAGGACATGCCTTGTGTCCTCATAATGCAAAAATGCTTAAAAACATGCTTAATGATGTCTTTTGACATTCCAATTTTGACACTCACCACCTTAATTTTGTAATACTTAGTTCATATCCATGTCATTAATATACAAATTTCTCTCCTTTTACCGCAAATTTCACTTTTACTGCACAAACTCCAGGATGCGCATTAAAAAAAGGTCATGTGATTTTGTTAAAAGAGATCATGTGATGCTTAAAATGTGTGTGAATGGGTAAAACGTCAGGCTGAGCACATTATAAAACATCTGAAATGTTGTTTTGGTCAGTATAAAAAGCCTTACCATTTCAGTATTAGTGTTATTATATTATTAATGACCTCCAGAATCAAGAGCGCCTGTGCTCCGCGTCTGACAGCGTCAAACGCCACTGCACGCTCACTGCTTGTCAGGATTGTCTTCTGAGGCGCATTCATTTAGAAAAGTGTGATGCAGCTTCTCCTACTGCAGCAAATGCAGTTTTTACTGTTGATATTTGGTGCCAGTTAATCAGGAAGTGACGATTTTGTTCGCTTTGACTCGTTGGATGGAAACGATGCTTCATTCGCACAACCTTTATGCGATAATCGAGTTATGCGCATACAGTTTATTCGCATTTTTGGATGGAAACATAGCTACTGTTTGGTTTTGAATGTCACTTACAAATGTCCTGATTCTGCTCTTCATTAGCGGACAGATGGAGTCTGAGCTCTCTCTTACCCAGAAACAGGAGGAAGAAACAGGACACAGGTGAGCTCAGCAGAGCCTGTTTTACCTGATATTAACATGTGTTTTCAGTAATATTATCAACAGAGATTCATTATAATTTCTGCCTGACGTTAACATCTTCATGTGTGTCTCTTGGTCAAATCTACAAACATATTAAACCCTATTTACAGCTGTATGGTCTATCTGTGATCAGATTGACAGAAATCCACCTTAATACCTGGTGTAAACATGGCCTAAATTAGCAATTATGATAACTTCTATTTATGTTATTCTTCTGTCTAAATATTGATAAATAAATAAGCTAACTAATTGGTGGCAAACACATTCCTAAAATACTATACTCTTACAAACATACAGGAACATAATGAGTTTATATGCATCAGGAAATCTTTACCGGTCATTCTTGTTTGTCTGGCATTTGATAAACACCATTTCCTGCTCATGATGTCTGTGAACTGTAGTATTAAAAAATATCAAGTACCTCAAAATGTCATTTGTTTTATGTTGTTCAGCATGTCAAGCAACGCAGAGCTAAATACGTTTTCATGCTTATTATCAATCATCCTTACATGAAATTATTACATAACACGTGTCATATTTAACATTTCCACTACTCACAGTGAAAGAGGCCACGCCCACTATACCGGAGGCGGAGACAACGAGGCCTCGTAGCCCCACCTCTGCCAGTGTCTGTAAGTCACTCACAGAACACTGATGATTGATTATCGATCCTTTGATACTCAAAAACAGCCTATTTTAAAACACTTTATTTAATTTTAACTGACACAGAGTGGATGTTATGCTGTTGTTGTATTAAACAACAATAAACAAGTTAATAAAAAGGGTTGAAAGCTTGGGGTAGGATTTTTTTCTGAAACAAATAAAGTCAGTATGTAGCACGGATGGATTCAATTGATCACTACAACAATGTTACAAAAAAGTGTAGCTATATTTTAAATCATTATAATATTTCACAATATATATATATATTTTGTATTTTTTATCAAACAGATTCTGACCATATTTGTCTTTGTCTGACAATATATTGTTAATTATATAAATTATTGTTAACTATATCTGTGTTTTCTTTGTAGGGGGAGAGCCAACAGAAGGTAATGGCTGATTTATTTATTTGTTCATTTTTTGGCCGCTTTACAGTTATTCAGTCATAGTGAAACTGATTACATTCAGGGCAGCCTGATATAAACAACTCAATGTTTTTATTCTTCTGTTGTGCAGTGAATCCTGCTCTGTTCCTGGACTCACCTACAGACAATCCCTTCATCAATCCAGCTTTCCCTACATGTCAGTATTTACAATAATATGTTTTATGTTATTTATATGATGGATGGATGGATGGATGGATATATAGATAGATAGATAGAAGGAATAAGAGATAGATTAAGAGAGATAGATAGATAGATAGATAGATAGATAGATAGATAGATAGATAGATAGATAGATAGATAGATAGATAGATAGATAGATAGATAGATAGATAGATAGAAGGGAAGATAGATAGATAGATAGATAGATAGATAGATAGATAGATAGATAGATAGATAGATAGATAGATAGATAGATAGATAGATAGATAGATAGATAGATAGATAGATAGAAGGGAAGATAGATAGATAGATAGATAGATAGATAGATAGATAGATAGATAGATAGATAGATAGATAGATAGATAGATAGATAGATAGATAGATAGATAGATAGATAGATAGAAGGGAAGATAGATAGATAGATAGATAGATAGATAGATAGATAGATAGATAGATAGATAGATAGATAGATAGATAGATAGATAGATAGATAGATAGATAGATAGATAGATAGATAGATAGATAGATAGAAGGGAAGATAGATAGAAGGGAAGATAGATAGATAGATAGATGGATAGATAGATAGATAGATAGATAGATAGATAGATAGATAGATAGATAGATAGATAGATAGATAGATAGATAGATGGGTAGATAGATAGATAGATAGATAGATAGATAGATAGATAGATAGATAGATAGATAGATAGATAGATAGATAGATAGATAGATAGATAGATAGAAGGGAAGATAGATAGATAGATAGATAGATAGATAGATAGATAGATAGATAGATAGATAGATAGATAGATAGATAGATAGATAGATAGAAGGGAAGATAGATAGATAGATAGATAGATAGATAGATAGATAGATAGATAGAAGGGAAGATAGATAGATAGATAGATAGATAGATAGATAGATAGATAGATAGATAGATAGATAGATAGATAGATAGATAGATAGATAGATAGATAGATAGATAGATAGATAGATAGATAGATAGATGAATACATACAATAAAGGAGGGATTGATAGACAGAGAGAAATATAGAAAGAACAATGGACTGATTGTACAGAATGATGGATGGATGGGCTGATGATCATATGTCATATGCTGTTGTGTGTTTGTCCTCCAGTGCGGGAGATTAACATTGACAGCATTCAGGCTGCAGAGCCCAGAAGCAGAGAAGAGTTCCTGCAGTGTGAGTTTATCATATCCTCCAGCATCTGATCCTCTGCCTGACCGCCCTTCATTCTGCTTCAGTCTCACTCTATGTTTCTCCTGTGCATCAGATGCTTGTAATCTGACTCTGGACCAAACCACAGCCCACCGCCGTCTGCTAGTGTCTGATGGAGACTCGGTGGCCACCCTGCAGCAGACCACACAGCCATACCCGGACGTCCCGCAGCGCTTCGATGGCTGGACGCAGGTGCTCTGTCTGCAGCCGCTTACCTCTGACCGCTGCTACTGGGAGGTAGAGTGGAGGGGGCGAGGCTCATCTGTGGGCGTGGTCAGTGGGTCCATGCCTCGCAAAGGGGCGGATTCGAGGGCGGGGCTTGGGTATAACAGCCAATCATGGAGTTTGGAGCTGTCTGACATGTGCTGCGCAGCCATGCACGCTAATCAGAAGGTGGAGATCCCTGTGACCTACAGCCCTCGTGTCGGGGTGTTCCTGGACAGGAGCGCAGGGACTCTGAGTTTCTATAGCGTGGATGACGAGCTGCTGCCTCTTTATAAGTTTCAGGGCTCGTTCCCGCAGTCGCTGTATGCTGCGTTCGGGGTGGGCTGTGGCGTCGGGGTCGGCCTGGATTTTGCCATGGGGCAGTTCAGCTCCACTTCAGACAGCATTAAAATATGTCCCTTGTGAGCAAAACAAATCTTTTAACAAAACAAGCGAACATACAGTACATCAACTCCGCATTCTCCATCTAAAAATTAATTTTGATTCTAACGCTTCTAGTTCACTTTTTGATTATTGTCCATAATTAGAGAAATCTTAATATTTTATAAAAAAATACTTAATACAGGGCTCGAAATTTGTCACGGTTTTGGTGGCATATGCACCCGAAATTTAAACTATGCGAGCCCACAATATATTTGGGAGAATTTGTGCGACTGTATATAATGGTTGTAGTGCTAAAAACGTGCTGAATTGGTCTTCCCTACCGCGTAGACCTTATATTGGTTCATATTGGCTGCCAGTCACTCAAGGCTTTCTGCCATCAGATGACCGGGAGCTTTTATGACCACAGGAAAATGCAAACGGCTAAAGTTTGAGGAAGAAACAATGAAAAGTAGGCGACACAGGTTTGCAAACCCACCTAAAGTTACAAATAATGACACCGATGATATCGATCATGTGGTGAATGTTCATTCACCAGCCGAGATCAACCGAGTGTTCAACCAACGCACATTCAAGACAGCATGATAATGAGAAATGTAATAAAGTGTTAGAATTGTTGTGATTGACGTCATTAATAATATTTTACAATTATTGGACGTTAATTTTGGAATTATTGCACAAATATCAATACCGCATCACAGCATTAGATATAGTTGTTTCTGGTTTTTGTTAGTCCTGATTGATGTTGTTTTCAAATACAATAAATTTGTTAATATACAATTTGCAGTGGCGCTTATAAACTTTTGGTGGGTGCTCCTAAATTTTGGAATTCGGGAGCACCGGTGCTACTAAGTAAAAAAGTTAATTTCGAGCCCTGTAATAAATAAATACAACAGTAAATAAAAAAACAAATACATTATTACAATTTACATCAAATAAAAAATATTTAGGAGTGCATCCTTTTAAACCATTCATTCATTTTCCTTCGGCTTAGTCCCGTTATTCATCAGGGATCACCACAGCGGAATGAACCGCCAACAAATCCAGCATATTTTTTACACAGCGGATGCCCTTCCAGCTGCAACCCAGTACTGGGAAACACCTATGCACTCACAATCACTACATCCAATTTAGTTTATTCAATTCACATATAGCGCACGTGTTTTGAGTGTGGGGGAAACTAGAGCACCTGGAGGGAAACTCATGCCAGCACAGGGAGATTATGCAAACTCCACACAGAAATGCCAACTGATCCAGCCGAGGCTCAAACCAGCAACCTTCTTGCTGTGAGGCAACACTGCTAACTACTGAACGACCGTGTCGCCCCTCCTTTAAACCATTGTTTAAATTAAGCAAAATTACATCATAATATAAATATCCATGACACAACCAAAACCATAAAATATTTCATTGATATTACAGTAATATCATTATTATTATTATTGTAATATAATTAAGAAGTTTTTGATTAATTGCCATAATTTTACAAATAATTTAATATATAATGAGAATAGCGACAGTGGTTAGCACTGGTCGCTGGTTCGAGTCCCGGCTGGATCAGTTGGCATTTCTGTGTGGAGTTTGCATGCGCTCTCGTGTTGGCAGGGGGTTTCCTCCGGGTGCTCTGCCCACAGTCCAAACACATGCGCTATAGATGAATTAGGTAATTAGGTATTTCCCAGTACTGGGTTGCGGCTGGATGGGCAATTAGAATTAGGATTTTTACTTAATTAGCTGTCAGTGCATTTGTTATTTTTAAAACTGGGATATAATTATGTAATTTCACAATGTATTAAAAAAAGTTAAAGCAAAAAAAGTGCAAAATTACACAAAGTATTTTATATTTCTATTTTTTTGGTATGCAAAAGATTTGTTTTCTTTTGATTTTTATTGCCCCCTTTTTAATGTTTTTATTTATTTTTTTGGCTTGTTGTTCACATTTACAGGAACATTAATGATAATTATTTCATCTGAACAATTTCTTTATAAACAAAAAATGTACATAACCTAAAAACAATTCTTATTACTATATGTATGCCAATAAAATACTTCATGGTTTTGTTTGTGTTATTTAAATTGTAATGTAATTATGCTTGTGCAACAATAGTTTAATGGATGCACTTCAAAATGATATTTATTTTATTCACATGACAGTAATAAAAATTAAGATGTTTTTAATTGTCATCATTTTACAAATCAAGAATATCACATATAATGATAATTAGGTTAGATTATTATTATCGGGATGTCATTAACATGTTACAGAATGGTTTACATTACAGTAATGAGGATATTTCTATTGTATATTTGCAAAATAAATAAATATATATATATATATATATATATATATATATATATATATATATATATATATATATATATATATTTATATTAATGCATGTCTTTTTTGGGGATAAGGATTGTATGGTTATGGCCAAATACTAACATAAATTATATAACAATACTCATTAATACAGAATAAAGTAATATAATTGATGCATCATTTATACTGTTACTAACATTTAAAATGTAAACTCCAATGAACATGAATAAAAATCCCCTGTGCACAGTTATCAGACTCCTCAGGATGAAATTCTTGAGACCCCAAAGAAGCTTTTGTTTGTTTTATTGTAAAAAAATCCAACATAACAATGCTGATGCAGGATCTGACAGCCAAACACACAGGAAAACACACTAAGGCTGTGGTTTACAACGTCAACAGCACAAAAGAAATCACTTGGTGCATGATGTCACATCTCGTGGCATCGTCTTCAAGCATTAACCTTTGACCTGAATGGCAGCAAAGCTCAACTGCAGGATGGAAATAAGGACACTTTGATACTGAAAGCAAATCATGCGTTTAGTACCATACACTTCAGCTCGGGTTAGAGATAAAGCTAATGATGAATATATGCAGCAGGCATGCCGGTATTAAAGGAACACTCCACTTTTTTATTTGAAAATAAGCTCATTTTGCAAGTCTCCTAGAAGTAAACAGTTGAGCTTTAACAGTATTGAATCCATTCAGCCGGGTCTGTCAGGAGCACTTTTAGCTTAGCTTAGCATAGATCATTAAATCGTATTAGACCATTAGCAGTGCACTCAAAAATGACCAAATAGTTTTGATTATTTTGCTATTTAACTATTTTGTAGTTATGTTACGTACTAAGATTGACAGAAAACAAAAAGTTGCTATTTTATTGGTTGACATAGCTAGGAACTATACTCTCATTCCGGCGTAATAATCAATGAACTTTGCTATCGTACCATGGCTGCAGCATGCGCAATGATATTACGCAGCACCTGGAAATAGCCACTAGCTACTTTAGGTAACAGCACTGCGTCAAGCTTTAAAATAGGAAAATTATCAAAAAAATGTATTACATTTTTGAGCGAGATGCTAATGGTCTAATCTGATTTAGTGATTTATGCTAAGCTAACCTGTTAGACCCAGAGATCAGCTGAATAGTTAAACAAATAGCACAACTCAACTGTTTCACTCTTGTGGAGTTGTAAAATGAGATTATCTGTCAGGAGCACTTTTAGCTTAGCTTAGCATAGATCATTGAATCAAATTAGACCGTTAGCATCTCACTCAAAAATGACCAAAAGAGTTTTGATAATTTTCTGATTTAACTCTTCTGTAGTTACGTTGTATGCTAAGACTGACAGAAAATTTAAAAAGTTGCTATTTATTAGGTTGACATGGCTAGGAACTATACTTTCATTCCGGCGTAATAATCAATGAACTTTGCTATCGTACCATGGCTGCAGCATGCGCAATGATATTACGCAGCACCTGGAAATAGCCACTAGCTACTTTAGGTAACAGCACTGCGTCAAGCTTTAAAATAGGAAAATTATCAAAAAAATGTATTACATTTTTGAGCGAGATGCTAATGGTCTAATCTGATTTAGTGATTTATGCTAAGCTAACCTGTTAGACCCAGAGATCAGCTGAATAGTTAAACAAATAGCACAACTCAACTGTTTCACTCTTGTGGAGTTGTAAAATGAGATTATCTGTCAGGAGCACTTTTAGCTTAGCTTAGCATAGATCATTGAATCAAATTAGACCGTTTGCATCTCACTCAAAAATGACCAAAAGAGTTTTGATAATTTTCTGATTTAACTCTTCTGTAGTTACGTTGTATGCTAAGACTGACAGAAAATTTAAAAAGTTGCTATTTATTAGGTTGACATGGCTAGGAACTATACTTTCATTCCGGCGTAATAATCAATGAACTTTGCTATCGTACCATGGCTGCAGCATGCGCAATGATATTACGCAGCACCTGGAAATAGCCACTAGCTACTTTAGGTAACAGCACTGCGTCAAGCTTTAAAATAGGAAAATTATCAAAAAAATGTATTACATTTTTGAGCGAGATGCTAATGGTCTAATCTGATTTAGTGATTTATGCTAAGCTAACCTGTTAGACCCAGAGATCAGCTGAATAGTTAAACAAATAGCACAACTCAACTGTTTCACTCTTGTGGAGTTGTAAAATGAGATTATCTGTCAGGAGCACTTTTAGCTTAGCTTAGCATAGATCATTGAATCAAATTAGACCGTTAGCATCTCACTCAAAAATGACCAAAAGAGTTTTGATAATTTTCTGATTTAACTCTTCTGTAGTTACGTTGTATGCTAAGACTGACAGAAAATTTAAAAAGTTGCTATTTATTAGGTTGACATGGCTAGGAACTATACTTTCATTCCGGCGTAATAATCAATGAACTTTGCTGCAGTACTATGGCTGCAGCAGGCACAAGGATATTACTTAGCACCTGAAAATAGCCACTAGCTACTGTAGGTAACAGTGCTGCTTAAGAATCAAGATTTAAAATGGGAAATTAGACAAATTTCTTTTGCATTTTTGAGCGAGGTGCTAATGGTCTAATCCGATTTAATGATTTATGCTAAGCTAAGCTAAAAGTGCTCCTGTTTGACCCAGAGTTCAGCTGAATAGATTCATAAATGACAAAACTCAACGATTTAACTCTTGGGGAGTTGTCAAATTAGCTTATATGTCAGTAGCACTTTTTGCTTAACTTAGCATAGATCATTGAATCAGATTAGACCGTTAGCATCTCACTCAAAAATGACCAAAGAGTTTTGATCATTTTCCTATTTAATGCTTGACTCTTCTGTAGTTACATCTTGTACTAAGAACGACAAAAAATAAGAAGTTGCTTATTTTTTAGGCCGACATGGCTTGGAACTATATACTATTACTCTTGTGTAAGAATCAAGGTTAAAAATAGGAAAATTGACAAATTTCTTTTACATTTTTTAGCAAAACGCAAATGGTCTAATCAGATTCAATGATTTATGCTAAGCTAAGCTAAAAGTGCTCCAACTAGACCAGGAAATTGGCTGAAAAATGGCAAAACTCAACTGTTTAACTCCAGAGGAGTTCAAAAATGAACTTATTTCAACAAAAGTGGATCGTTTCTTTATTCTGAAGGAGTCGTATGACTACTTAATGTTACCAAGATTAGTTTAAATCACATTTATGTTAGTTTGCGTTCTCATTCACTGACTAAAGCGCACTAAATGTCCCACCTGTAACAGTTTATGAAGCAAACTTGATGGCTTTCCCTGTGCTGTTATTAGCATGTTTACCACAAAGCACAATAGGTCAGTTTACCACACACACACACACACACAAACACAAGTTTTAGCTTATAAAATGACAATTCAAGCAAAAAAAGGACAAATAATTTTGGTATAAACCCCAAAATAAGGTATTTGGAGCTTTGAGTCCCTTTTCAAACTCCACCAAAACATGAAATATAATAAAATTC